AAGTTGGAAACTTCTCGGCTCCTATATATCAGTATGAATCAAGCTAAGCTCAAAGCGGATGCATATATCGGCATAGTAGATGCAATTGACCTCAATCTCAGGCCAGAGAATATTGGAAAGCGGATTATCTTACCATCTTCCTTTGTTGGAGGCCCCAGATTTATGCAACAGTTGTTCCAAGATGCCATTGCCATGGTTCGGAAGTTTGGCAAGCCAGATCTCTTCATCACCTTCACATGTAATCCCCAGTGGCCAGAGATCCAGGAGGCTCTTTATGAAGGCCAAACAGCAGCTGATTGGCCTGACCTTTGCGTACGAGTATTTAATCTCAAAAAGAAGGCTCTAGAGGATGACCTCTTCAAGAAAGATGTCCTAGGGAAAGTTATTGCTTACAATTGGGTCGTCGAGTTCCAGAAACGTGGTTTGCCGCATCAGCATCTCCTCATAATTCTTGACGATGGAAGCAAGCCTCGGACTGCAGGCGACATTGACTCTATTGTGTCTGCAGAGATCCCCGATCGACACAGTGCCCCGCTTGCGTACGAGACAGTAACTTCCCACATGGTACATGGGCCATGTGGGGTCCATAATTCTAAAGCGCCATGCATGGTGGAAGGGAGCTGCAGCAAAAAGTACCCACGCTCATTTTTGGAAAATACTGCAAGAAGCGAGGATGGCTACCCGAACTATCGTCGACGTAATGATCCTGCACGCTCCTTTGTAAACTCAAAAGGCAACACTGTCGACAACACTTGGGTTGTTCCTCACAATTTATGGCTTACAACCAAATATAACGCTCATATTAACGTTGAAGTCTGTGGATCAGTGTCATCAGTCAAGTATATTTACAAATACGTGCACAAGGGTCATGATAGAGCAGCAGTTGCTGTCGTGGCTGGCAGCGGATGGAGGAAATGTTAATCTCGATGAGGTCAGCAAATACAGGGATAGCCGATATGTATCTACTTGCGAGAGCTTATGGCGTATGTATGGCTTTGCGCTCCATGGGCAATCCCATAATGTTGTTCGACTGCCTGTCCATCTGGAGGATCAGCAGCAAGTGGTCTTCGGTCCTGATGCTAACCTCGAGCAAGTCATCTCCTGTGCCCAAGACTCGCAGCTCATGGCATGGTTCAAGCTCAATAGTGCCATTGAGAAAGAAATTCCGAGGGCAGAAGGAAGCAACAAATGCAGCCAATGCCGAAGCGGCAAGCAATATAAAGGTACCAGAATACTATTTGTACCCTGATGTGCCTTATCACTACACCTGGGACAAGCGCAGTAGAAGACGGAGAGAGAGAGCCAGGACCAATAGCACGAAGGTTCTCTCTAGAATCTATTTTGTCCAGCCAAAAGAACGCGAAAGGTATTGTCTTCGGCTGCTGCTTATGCATGTCAAAGGAGCAAAGAGTTTTGCTGAGCTCCGCACCATGCCTGAAGTCAACAAGGTCTTTGATACGTTTTACTCAGCTGCCCTTGCTCGCGGCTTGCTCGAGGATGATGAACAATGGAGTCGTTGCTTGGAAGAAGCATCCACATATCAGTTACCGAGGATGTTGCGGCACCTGTTTGGTATTATGATGATCAACTGTAGCCTCTCTGACCCACTGGCTCTTTGGACTCGCTTTGCAAGGGACCTGTCAGAAGACTTCCTTCATATATGTAAAGGACTCCAGGGAGAAGCAACTGCTACTGCGGAGGGTATCGCAGAGGAACAAGCTAAGAGCTCGGCACTTTACGATCTGAATGAAGTGCTGAAGGAGCTTGGGTCCTGCCTGGCTAACTTTCCAGAGATGCCTCAAGGAATAGAAAATGCCCTACAGGAGGAAGATCAAGTTGATGACACGCAGAAGCAATGGGAATTTGAACAAGAGGCTCTCAATAACGTGATACACTTGAACTTGGACCAGAGGATAGCCTTTGAACACATCATTAAGGCAGCCAAGGGTGAGGTTCATGAGAGACTTTTTTTCATTGATGGCCCAGGAGGAACAGGCAAATCCTTTTTATACAACACGCTCATTGGTTGTCTCACTGGCCGACATAAGCGAAGTGTGATTGCTGTCGCATCATCAGGAATTGCCTCTCTTATTCTCCATAACGGCCATACAGCCCATTCTACGTTCAAGGTACCGATCCCTGTTGACTGTCGCTCCATCTGCTATCTTGGTATGCGGCAAGATGCTGCCGTAAGAATACGTAATGCTGATGTCGTCTTCTGGGATGAGGCTCCTTTGCAGCATAAGCATTGTTTTGAGGCTGTAGACAGGCTGCTTCGAGACATTATGGAACAGGATACTCCGTTCGGTGGTAAAGTGTTTGTATTTGGAGGCGACTTCAGACAGGTACTTCCGGTTGTCATCCGTGGGACACAGGCTCAGATTGAGGATGCTTCATTGAAAAGATCTTATATTTGGCCTTCGGTGACGACACTCAGACTGAGCAAGAATATGCGAGTTAACAGCCATCCTGAGAACCAAGCGTTTGTCGAATGGCTACTCCGTATTGGTGAAGGGACAGAGCCGACCGTTAGTTTTGGCCCTCATGGCGACTATATCAGGATACCTGACAACTTGGTCCTTGACGCCCCAGCTGTAAATAAGGATCACAGTCACGAAAAGCTACTAATTAGGCAGATATTTCCAGACATCGAAACTGCTGGACTCCGGCCTGAAATACTCATTGAGCGCTATATTGAGCCCTCTCAATGAAGATGTAGACAGGCTAAACCAATTGGCTACCACTATGCTCTGTAGTACTCAGCAATCAGTCAGTTATATTGGTCAAGATAGCCTACAAGACCCTGAAGCAACAGCTCCGGTCCATTATCCTGTAGAATATCTAAACAAGCTTAGTCCACCAGGCTTGCCTCCATTCAAACTGGAATTGAAAGTCGGTCAACCTGTCATCCTTCTTCGCAACTTGAATCCAAAGCGCGGACTATGTAATGGCACCCGCATGATTGTGCGTGCGTTGGGCACAAGAATGATCCAGACTGAGATTATCAATGGGCAATATCGAGGGGAGCGTGTTTTCATTCCTCGCATACCGCTTACAACGATTGATGACCGCTCTTCGCCAGTTATGTTCAGCAGACGCCAATTTCCAGTCAAGCCAGCCTTCGCCATGACTATCAATAAGTCACAAGGACAGACACTTAAACATGTCGGTGTTTATCTTCCTCAAGATGTCTTCAGTCATGGCCATCTCTACGTTGCTTTATCACGGTGTACTGACCCAAACAATCTTAAGGTGCTGGTCGGGAATGGGAAGGTACAAGCCAAGCCTGGGATATACACCAGAAACATTGTCTTCAAGGGCGCATTGTAGTCACAATATCTTGGTTTTCAGACATCCTGCTGCTTCTTCATCTCCAAGTCATTCACGTCAACTTTCAGCTCATCTCCATTGTTATTCAATCTGACGTTATTTGTAGCACTTATTTGTATTTTACCTGCATTTATATTTTGTATTTTATTTTGTATTTATATTTTGTATTTTATTTTGTTTTTGTATTTTATTTTGTACGATAAAGATAACTTACTATGTTGTAAGCATTAAATTTTATTACGAGGCAAGAGCAGGCCGTGGCGAAGCCACGGTCTCCGGCTCGTATTTATTTAATTTGCAGCTCTATCTAAATAGAATAACGATGGGGATCCCAGGGAGATTTGATTCTTCATAGAGAGCATAATCCACGCTTGGTAGAGCTTTTTGGAGAGTGACAGACGCTCAAACATGTCGGTGTTTATCTTCCCCAAGATGCTTTCAGTCATGGTCATCTCTCAAACCTAAATAATCTAAAGGCACTTATCATGAACGGCAAGGTAAGAGAAAAGGCTGGAACATACACGCGGAACATTATCTTCAAAGATGCTTTTAGGTACATCACCTTTTGAGCGTCATTTACCATGTTGTCTCTTCGCTGTCGTTTTTCCATCTAATGCTGTGATTACCAGATATTTACCTTCTTGATCGTTTTTTATTTTTTGTATGTTGGTTTGTATCTTAGTTTGGTATGTGTCTGCACTTTACTTTTTTTCGTTAAAAAAAAAATACGCGGTTTACACACAGCTTTTTGCAGTAGTAAAGGCCAAAGACCTACATGAGTTTATTGATTTCATCTATGTCGAAATAAAAACCTTAGTTGTTGCAGACTATTTCTTTTTTTATCTTCACGAGGCAAAGCATTGAGTTTTCTAACGAGGCAAGAGCCGACCGTGGCTTCGCCATGGTCCCCGGCTATTTCGCTAGAAATAATGCAGGCAATAGTGATCGGCAAGAAATTTTCAGGGAAATAATTTTTTTTAGTCCTCATGCCAGTCGACATAATGACACTCACACGTTCATTCGCTGCACGTGGCTTCGACCTCAGACTGGGAGTCGAGCTTGTCACTCTTTTTAAATGGTTTACTTTACTTAACGTAACTCTTGTAATCGAAAATATGTAACCAAAAAGAGCGACAAGCTTAGCTAGAATTTCTCCATCTCTTCTTTCTCATTCTCGGGCACGTAATTTCCAAGCAATCAAGACGAATCATTTAAGGTAGACACTTTGAACAAACTCCATAAAAAAAATTCTTTCTGTTCATTGTCGCCTGAATTGTAATTAGTGCCGATTTTTACAGAAAATATGACGTAGATAGCATGTTTTACAGAATTCAGGTGTAATTATACGATTTGATTTAATTAATTGTTTGAATATCGTTTTGATTGCCTCCATTGACACTCGCTTCTGTGTACCTGTTCACACTATTTTTTTTCTTCTCTGCACATTACCTCTCTCTCTCTCTCTCTCTCTCTCTCTCTCTCTCTGAATAATCAGTAGGGCGTCTTCAACTTTTTTTTTTTTTTTTTCATTTTGTTCTGTTCTTTGGTCAGTAATCACTAGGTTGACCACCATGTCTGCAGGTGCGTCATCAACATTCGTGACGCCTGACGTTTCTCTTTACGACAACGTTGGAAATGTTACAGCTCTGCATTCCAACACTGCCCAGATTCCTCATTTTAGCTAGAGGTTCTGTGCTGCATGTCGTTTAGAGTACATGACATTCCAACACCCTCGAGCAAAGGCTGTTGGATAGTGTACAGTCACTCTGCCTCCACTCCTTGCCATGTAGTCAGGCTGATCCTAACTGCATGCTTTAAAGACATTGAGTGTGTGTCCTCCGACGCGCAGGGTTGTGGTCGTAACTTTGAAGCTCCGAATGTGATTTCATCACTGCAAGAATTTCTCTGATGGATTACAACGCTGTGAATGAGACTCATTATTGCAAGAGTTTCATTACAGATGCCTTGTCGGAGGTTCCTGGTATTCTGACACCGTTGAGCTTAACCTGTCAGATATTGAGACTCTACGTTCTTCTTTAATTCAATTGATCAGTATTATTTTAAATGTCATCAGTAACTACTGTTTCATTTTAAACTATAATAGGAGTAGGAATATGTCGCCAAATAAGAAGGTGAAAGAGTCATGGCGTGAGAGTCTTGAAAACCTGTCATCGAAGGAGTACTTTCTGGCCTGCAGTCGTCCCCAAGAATTCAATTATCCAAATTTCTTAGTTTGGTCAAAAGGACGTCTAATTGGTCGAGCCCGTGTCAGGCAAGAATGGGGAACTGCTAGAGCTGCTTTCCGTCATAGCCAACATCAGGTGCTACGTGATACTGCCAAAAGAATGGACAGTGATTGGGAAAATCGCATTGATGTCACATATGAATCAGAGTTTTTCCAGCAACAACAATCACTACGTAAACTTTTAAAGGGTCGTAGCTCAGTACACGATGTGGCTGATCAGGTTATTAACAAAAGACAAAGGATTGAGCTGGAGGACGAACTGAGATCTCATGATGAGAAAGACCACGCAGGTACATGTGAGAATGTTTTATGTTGCTACTTTTGATATTATGTTCTGACCTTTCACGACTGTTCTATCTGCTGTTATGTGGATCTGTAGGCAAGGATGTGGCATCACAACGGCGTGACAATCGAAAGTCTACGAATTCCCATGAGGATAGTAGATGCATCGACAACAGCAACAATATTGATGATGACGGTAATGATGGCATATTGATATCAATTCCAAGAACCCCACCGAGATCAAATCAAAGATACTTTGAGGAGGTTCCTCAAGTTAAAGAGTATGATGAGCACCGTTTGATATTATATCCTTTAATTATATTCAATTACTAATTCACTAACTCTCTACCTGCATTTTAGTTTGGAGGCAGTATTCCATCACGCTACTGAACTGAATAACTTCAAGTTGAGTGTTATCAACCAGGATTTATACAATGAGGCCACTGTTTGGTTCCAATCTAACAATGGGCGAGATGCCGAAACAGTTATTCAAAACATCCGCAATGATCCTTTCTGGGAACCCTGGATCAATGACTTGCTCTATGACAGGTGAGGTTTATCAAGAGCAATATCTATCTATTCAAGAACCAGGACATAAATTGACCTGTTTTTTTTTTTTTTTTTTTTTTTTTTTTTTTGAAAATTTTCATAGGTTGAAACTCCTTCGCTATGGGCTAAACCCACAAGCCGATGAGAATACATACACGTCCTATTGGGTGCTTCCTGACTTCACGACACTGCAGACTGGCGTTTCAGGACTAATATCGAAAGGCTTCTCAAATGAAAATCATTTCATACCTTCGTCGTGGCGCCGCGCCCTTGTCAGAGACAAAACGCATACTAAGGGAACAAACGTGGATGCTTACTATGTAGCTATGGATGGCCATGTTGATATTATTTTTGAGAACGTTGGCTCTCCTGCCTGTACCGATCATGCCAAACATGCTGAGGACAAAGAAAAATCGTTCCGAAATGCTGCTGACGCCCTACTAGAGCGTTTCTACAACACTACGGGCTCATTCGAAATCGCGAAGGAGTATTGTGTTATTGTTGTTATTGTGTTTGGTATGTTCCTTTTGACAGTTTTTTTTTTTTTTTTTTTTTTTTTTTAGTAATTCAATGTGCAGACCTACCTATTAAATTATCGTCTCTATCCGTAGGACATTACCTGTCAGTATACACAACAAGCATTAAGGATTCGAATGAGTTCATTGTGATAAATATTCTCCACGAGAAATACCACCTCTCCAAATATGCTTATCTTGCGAAAATTCTTCTGCATTTAAAATTTTGTCTTACGATCAAGGTAGTTTCCGATTTGCTTCGCTTGCCCCTATATGCTTGCTTTAACTGACACCTTCGCTTCCTTCCCACTAGACTATCATGGAGAATAATATTGAGGTCAATGTAAAGTTTGGAAAAACACTGGGGTCGTTGCCACCTGAGGAGCAAGTAAATTTTAACCTTAGTCTTCACAAAACACCAAAAAAAAAACCAGACCCGTCGTAGAGTCTCGCTGGCAGCTCTAAAAGGTGTTGACACAGAAATAGTTATATTGCTTCATTCAAAAAAAGAAAATCTATCTTCTCATTACTGGCCCCCATATCATAGAGATGAGGTGAGTGTAGCGGTGTTTCTCACGGTGCTTGTTTCTTGGAGGTGCGAACAATTTATTCCAAATAAACCCTTTTTTAAAAAAAGAAAAAAATATATTATATTCGGGATAATAAATTAGTGTGGTTAGCTGAATGAAAATAGGCATTTGGAAAAATGAGCAAGAACCTGACAAGGAATCTAATATACTCTAGTGGATATGAATATAGCCGAAAAAGGACTCAAATTGAAAAAGGATCAGAGAGATAGAGGAGTCAGAAGAAGCCTATGGTGCCTAAGGCATAAGCAATTATTAAAACAAAGATGTTTTAATATTTCATATTATTATTTACAGCAGTGTCCATGAGTCCCATTAAGTAAACGCGATTGTCGATAAGTGTTGATATGCTTTTTACAGATGCGGGGGAAATAGTAATTTTATCTTTTATTGGTGAGGAAATTTTCAGGAAATAAAATATTTTAGCTATTGAGCGAGTTCAAAGCCGGATTTATCCTGGACATAAGAACACTCTTCAGGATACAGCCGTGCATTTACTGGAGCTACATTGGGCTACGCGTTTGGACAGCGCCGAATGGCTGCAGAAGGACATGGGAAAGAGTTTTTTTGATCTGGCGGCTCGAGTACTGCCAGAGCGAGTATTTGAGGAATTTGTGCTGTCACTGAATTTTTTGGAGCAGACATAGGCTGCAGGGGATGTTGTAAGGCCAGTGGGGGGTCAACACGCAATGATGCCAACCATAATGTTGAATGAAGAACAACTGGATGTTATTGAAGTCATTTTGCGGGATGCGGGACTGGTTTTGGTGACAGGGTCAGCAGGAACTGGAAGGTCCAGTGTGTTGAAGGTACTGATGCATCGGTTAAAGGTAGGTACTAGATTCGAACCAGTGGTGTTGGCGCCATCGGGGGTAGCGGCTGTCAATGTCGGAGGGATGACAATCTATAGATTTTTTGGAGCGGCAGCGCAAGGAGGAGGAGGAGGAGTCGAAGCTGTGGTGGCCCCAAATGCGTTTGAGATGGACTGGAACATATACTGCATCCGCAATCGAGGACGGGAGGCATTTTTTGTTGTGGATGAAGCTTCAATGATATCGAGCGACATATTTGAAGCGACGAATAATACACTACAGCAGGTATGTCCAAGAGCAAGTGCAGGGGTAGCGTTTGATGGGTATGCATGTATGTTATTTGGAGACTTTGCTCAGCTTGCTCCCGTGGTACGAAGGCGTAAAGAAATAAACGAGGGGTGATAGGGATGAGGAAACGAAATGGCTCTGGGCAAGCGAGGAGTTGTTTAATAAATTTGAAAGACTCGAATTACGAAATGGGTGATGGACGATTTTTTAACTTTTTAACAATTGTACGACGAAGGGCCACGGGGACATCGGGAATGGAAAGAGATTAAGGAGCTCCTAGAGGCAAGGACGCTCGACCTAGCCTTGGCAAATGCCATTGAGATGCCGGAGATGAACACGGTTGCGCTGGCGAGCCACGTGGAAACTGTTACCAAGTTGAACGAAATTTGTATGTAGAGGAAAGAATGGAAATCTTAGCAATTGACAGGTCCGGCACAGCAACAGTGAATAAAAACTGGGTGCAGACAGAGACAGGATTGCAGACGAAGTTAACTTTGTGGGTAGGGGCGTCTATCATGGTAATTTCGAATCTCTCAGTGGCACAAGGGCCCATGAATGGAGCACAGGGCAAAGTTCAGGCGATTGGGGAGGATAATGTTTAGAAGTGTAATTTTTATTTTCTTGGCTTGTCCGTTGCTGTTTTATTTTTTTTATTTGTCCCTCTTCTCTCTTTTTTCTTTTCTTTCCTTTTTTTTTACGCTCCTTTTAATTTCTTTCCCTGCAACCACTGTTGTCCTCTTGCTGCCGTAGTCAAAAAACATGACTAATTCGATGTAAGAAATCCTTCCTGTCGTCTAGCAGCTTGTTCCACGCGGATTTTTTTTTTTTTTTTGTTGTCCATGCGCCAACATTCAGTCTTTTATTTCTCTTTAGGCGTTACTCAAAGAAACGAAGCAACGAGAACTCAACTGTATCAGAAGATGATGCTCTGGATGATAAGGAGATTGAGAAGATCGTTTGTGATTATTGTTCGGACACAAAACATTTGAGTCTTTTCGAAGTCTCACGATCCCTTGATTGTCACACCATTGATGGTGTTGTTGTCCTTGGGAAAGTGTGTGATTATAAGAAGAGACAGTGATGGGCAATCCACCGCAAGGGGTGTAGAGCCAGATTTGGGACGAAACCTGGCTTCCGAAAGCATTAGTTGGAATCCAAAGCGTGTCACGTATGACATGAATCCAAAAGAGATTCAGACGCCCACCCTGTCACACCCTTTCAGTTAGCTCGGCCATCTCAGGCTTGGCACCCTTCTAACGAGGCTCTAATACATGCATGTGGACTGGAATCATCAGAACGGAAAATGCAAAAGATGTATTATTCTGACAGAATCAGACAATATCCCATGGGGATTTCCATCCCTGGATGTGAGTTTGATGCTCTTGTCTCTGGAACAGCCTATGGTTCACTTCCAATAGCGCCTGTTCATGCTTTGGTTAATAAATCTGCCCATGTTCTTGGATACTTACCTCCATGGGAAATACAGGAGAGCGAACAACGTGATGCAGCTCCTCCATCAATTGAGGGAATCCTCCACCACTCGCCATTTACGAAAGCTATCAATAAAAAAACCTTCACGGAAATGACAGAGTCAACGAGTGAGCAATTGAATCTTGCGTGGGAACGGACACCTCAGGCTTGCCATATTACAAGCCATTTGTTATCAGGGACGTTAATCTTAAATTCAAAGAGTGAAGCACTCTTCCTCATTAACGAAGTTGTGGCAAGGACTCATGACAAGAAGAAAGAGAAAGACAGGCAGTGGGAAGTGACAAGAGGAGAGAGGAAGACAAGAAGAGACTCTAAGGTTCTCGTTGTCAAAAAAAAAAAAATAAGTGGTATAAAAAAATTAGTGTCCACTCACTTTTTTTTAACTCGATACCTCCTCCGACACTTTTTTTTTTTACTCGATACCACTCTACCAAGAAGACTTTCTTTTTTTTTTTGTGATTAAAATTGTCCCTTCGTCTGTTTCCAGAACAGATTTGTTCCAGATTTTCCTCGATTTGCAAATAAAGAGGTTTTCCGCTAGGAGACCCCCTATTCTCTATCTCGATTCGTGTTCCAATTTCACACTGAATGGGTTCATGCTGAGCATTACGCATTATATGATTCATCGGTTTCTTTAACTCCTTCATTCCATTATTCCTCCATTTCATGCACTTCACTCAATGGATCCTACTATCATGAAATCAAAGAACTTTAGCCCTCCATATCACATCAGCCGCCTAGGCTCACCCCCCTCACAAAAAAACACAAGATAAAGTAATAAATAAAGAATAAATATCTCGGATCCCAAGTCTCCAGGGCCAGCACGATTCCAACCTCCTTTACTGACACTTATCGTATGGTGTGACGTGCATTTAGCGCGCATAAAAATCTGGAGCAAATTCGTTCTAGATTTTGTGACAGACGAAGGAAGAGTGTAAGTCGTGTCTTTTAAAGCACATTGTCTACGGTACCATGTCCGTATGTGTGTCACCTTTCTTCATTGAAAATCCGACGAGAAATAAAGAAAAATAAACTAAATAAAAAGATCCCTCTGCCCTGCAACTCTGATCTACATCTTTCTTCTCGTCGCTCCTGGAACTCATCCGTTGCAGACTATTATCTATTCGTTCCAATGAGCGACAATTCTACCGACAACACTCATAATGCACTCCTTCATGAAATCAACACTCTTCGTCAGCAGGTGGCTGCCCTTACGCAGGCCAACCCTTCCTCCTCTTCCCCTTCCCCCATCACCATTGATCGCCCACAGGCCAAGATACTTGTCCTCTCTGATACCCTCAAAGCGGCTGTACCTTCCCTTGACGGCTCTCATTTCTTCCGTCCCCCGGACAACTCTGGCGACGATAACATCCTCACCGAGTACGTCCTCTATCCCAAGAACCCAGATCAGCAGTACAAAGCGCCCTCTCTTGAGTTGCCTTGGCCTCAGGAGACCACTTCTTTTCAACGAGTGGACAAGTGGTTATCCCAACTACAGGAACGTCAGGCCCACGCTACGCGACCCTTGGACGAATTCCTGGCAGAATACTTTCACAAAGTGCACGATCCTGCATTACGGCAGATCGTCGCAGATTTTGGGCATGTCATGCGATCTCATCTGGCCGTTACAGCACGCCAAATCACCGATCTGCGCATGGATAATTTTGTGTACGCAAAGGGTCTCAAGCCAGCCCCTGATCATGAAAAGACTGCAACTATCACTAAAGATGATATTGCAGCCCGAATTAAAGCTGCTGAGGAGTACCAGGAGGCCAGCAAGCCTCGCAAGACAGCTTTGCAAAACAGAGGATCCGGTCGCAATTCCGGTTCTCGCAGCAGGGGTATTTACTTTAACATGTACCCCCACCAGCAGCAACAGTTCCAGCAATTTCCATCACAATCGCAACCTTATTCACCAGCGAATCATCATCAAGCACAACAAGCCACACCTCCTCAGCTCACTTACGGGTATGGAGAGCCCATGCATAACAACCAGCAGGGACAGTATTTTTACAGAGGCAGCCGTGGACGGGGACGCGGCAGCGCCAACAAGAGCCAGTAGGAGGCCGTCTGCACCTCTACTCGAGGGCTTGGAGGCTCCTCACGGACGACAGGTGGGTCCGCTCCGTGATTGGAAACGGTTTTCAGATTCCCTTCCACAGACAACCTCCAATAACACACACATCAAGAGCCCTTTCCCCGCATCTATCCAAGGAGGAGACACTGGCGATAGAGAACGAAGTGATCGCACTTCTGGCCAAAAAAGCCATAGAGCACGCTTCGGGACCTGGTTTCCAGAGTCGTTTGTTTACTATCCCCAAGAAGACAGGGGACCTCCGGCCTGTCCTCAACCTACGTCCTCTCAATCAATTTATCATCACAGACTCGTTCAAGATGGAGACGATTCAGGTAGTATGCAATACCCTTCAGAAGAACGATTATTTGACGAGCATCGATCTCAAAGATGCTTTCCTTCATGTGCTGATTCATCCACATTTTCGTCCTTACCTTCAGTTTCAGTGGAAGGGTCAGCTGTATCAGTTTCGCACTCTACCTTTCGGGATGTCACTGTCGCCGTTAGTCTTCACGAAGGTCCTACGCCCGGTGTTGAGATGGGCGAGGCGTCGAGGAATACGGCTGACAGCTTACATCGACGATCTGTTGATCATGGCCAGCTCCAAAGCCCAAGCAGAAGAGCACACGAATCTTGTCCTGGACAAACTCAAGTCTCTTGGATTCCTCATCAACAAGGAGAAATCCTCTCTGATGCCAACGAAATGTCTAGATCATCTGGGTTTCACCATCAACACCACCGACATGACCCTCTCGGTACCGAAGTCCAAGGTCAGGGACATACGGCGAGAAGCAGCGAAGATGCTCAGCAAGGGATGGACGACGGTTCGCAACTTGGCTACGTTCATAGGGAAAGCCATGGCGACGACAGCAGCAGTATTTCCAGCTCGTCTAATGACGCGGCATCTTCTGGCATTGAAGAACAGAGCGCTCAGCCATCAGGGGTCATCTTGGGAAGCGACGATCTCACTGGACGACAGAGCTCGAGCCGATCTGGATTGGTGGACACACCAACTCAAGGAGTGGAACGGGACGTCATGGATTCAGTCGCCAACTCAGATGGACGTGTACACAGACGCCTCCGACCAAGGCTGGGGGATCGTCATAGGGCAGCGCACTTGGACAGGGCTATGGCCACCAAACATACGCCACCAACACATCAATTTAAAAGAGTTACTAACCGTGTACTACGCAGTCACTCTACCGCAAACACAAGGGAGGATGCTCAACCTAGTAATCGACAACACAACCACCATCGCTTACATCAACCGGTTCGGCGGAACTCGTTCACAACCTCTGATGGACCTGGCGGACAAAATATGGAAGCATTGTCTAGCAACAGGCACAAGACTCAGGACCACATATGTACCTTCAGTATTCAATCCAGCAGATGCACCATCACGCCGGATGCAAGCGCAGCTCGAATGGAGGCTGGACCCGTCATTTTTCCGTCGTCTAGACCAGCAGTGGGGGCCTCATCGGATAGACCTCTTTGCATCGCCCAGCAACAACCAGCTTCCTCAGTTCATGACATGGAAACCTCATCCTTTGGCAGTGGACTTCGATGCGCTGAGACACAAGTGGAGCCACTTGGGCAACCTTTACATCTGTCCTCCATGGAACTTACTTCCAAGGATCCTGCAGAAGCTAGACCAGGAAGGCCTGGAAGCGACCATAATTACTCCATTTTGGCCATCGGCGATTTGGTTCCCGAAGATACAGGCAATGGCGACCCAACCCCCTTTACCGATTCCACGAACATGTGTTCTCCCTCCACCAGGAAACGACGCGCACATCCTGCTCAAGAATCCACACTGGGGCCTTACCGCGTGGAGAGTAAGAGGACGAGGATGCTCATAGATGGCCTCTCGCCAGCGGTGACTGAGTTTATCTGTGCTCACAAAGGATCCAAGAGCACCAAGCGAGAGTACGAAAAGCATCAAGCTGAATTCGTCACTTGGCTGAAAGAGGGCTCGTTCGAACAAGGGATTAACCCCGCGATCCCAGTAGTGAACTGGCTACACTACGTGCGGGTCGCTCGCAATTTGAAGTGGTCCACGCTGATGACCATGAAGTCGGCTGTCCTCGCCCTATTTCGTGACCCAGAGAGAGTACGATCAGATGAATACTACCGCCAGTTCCTCAAGGCTGGAAAGCAAGAAGGTGTCGTTGAGTCCAGGTCTGGTCACTTTGACATCACACCTGTTTTGGACCATTTTCGGCAGTCATCAGCAAATATGGAGTTGCCTTTTGAGGAGCTTACATGGAAGCTGTGTTGGCTCTTAGGCGTCTGTGGCTTCATGAGACCAGACGACATCAGATGTGTAGATGTCAGTCTCTCCAAGCTTGTGTTAGGGAAGCTTCAGCTTGTTGTTGTTTTCCCAAAAGAGAAGAGTGATGGACAACGTATCATTAAGCATGTGACCATTGGTTCTCACTTTGACAAGAAGCTATGCCCTGTCGACGCATACACCGCTTACCTGGACAGGCTGTCTTGTCCTTCCACTACCTCTCCTCATCCGAAGGACCCAACAAGAAGCATTGTACCTTTGATTAGATTTGTGAAAGACCACACCCAGCCGGCGCGTGCGACTACTATTGGCTCCCACATGAGTAGGATTTCTTCGCTGATGGATTTAGGAGACAAGAAAGCTCCTAAGCTCCGAGCCTTAGGTTCTACGCTCGCGGCTATAGCAGGCGTACCAGTGGCTGATATCATGGTGCAGGGGAATTGGTCGTCCCCGAAAGTCTTCGAGAAGCACTACCGTTTGTCGAGTGCCACCTCCAACAACATGTCCATGAGCACTCTAGGCTAGATTTTCTTTAGTTAGTTGTTCATTTCGTTCAGTTTTCTTTTAGTTTTAGTTTTGTTTTAGTTTAGTTCTCTTTGGCGATCCCTCTGGAGCCACATACGGACATGGTACCGTAGACAATGGTCTACTGAATGGTCTACGAAGGACGACCTATTCACATTGTCATAGGTACCATGGACGTATGTCCCACCCACACCACCCCTTTTTGGCTCGAGAAGTAGATGTAGATCAGAGTTGCAGGGCAGAGGGATCTTTTTATTTAGTTTATTTTTCTTTATTTCTCGTCGGATTTTCAATGAAGAAAGGTGACACACATACGTCCATGGTACCTATGACAATGTGAATAGGTCGTCCTTCGTAGACCATTCAGTAGACCATTAGCTCGCCTAATCTTCGATAAAACCGCAAAGCTAATCATCAAAGATTGCAAACCAATATATATATCTAAAAAGGAAGTTTGACAACAGGTATTTCATGGGGGACTTTCGGTGCATAGGTCACAGGTTTTCGATTGGCGAGGTGATTCAGTGTACTGACTGTAAAGCGCTCGTTTTATTGCTCACGCACCAGAGTTCTTGCTTTGCTATGGGCAAAGTAAAACCCAAACGACTTGAGCTTCGCCCTTTCTCTCGGCCAATTGATGTGTGCGATTGGTTTAATCTACAATAAAAAAAAAAAAAAAAAAAAATAGACAGAAAGGGAAAGTCAGAGTGACCCTAATCTCTTATGCAGATATTTTTTTTATTTATTTATATTTTATGTGTTGACATCTTCAGCGGATCGCAAGGAACCAGAGCAACTATGAGCCGCACACCTGGCAAGGCTATAGCGCAATAGACCAAAAATTACTTTTCGGCTGGCGTGCCAAAGACTTGTCCAACTACATTTATATTCTACAAAGATCAATGTGGATCCTTTCTGCTCCTTACATGTTGCTTTATAGCTCTGTAAGTCTTTAACCAGACATGTTGATATACTTTGAACCACTCTATTTTGGCTCTTACTAAAACATTTTAACCAGCAGGGGTGGGGGAAAACACACAACATTTTCATAATACTACTTGCTTGTACATATCAGTGCTCCTATTCGAACTGAAACTTTGTCAATTGATATTTATTATTTTAATCTGAAACATCATAATTGACAAAGTTTCAGTTCGAATAGGAGCACTGGTACATATACCAGAAGTCATCCGACACTTTCATTCTTTAGAAAGTACCGTTATAGGTTCAATGGAAGAATGTTCCTTTAGCGGGTTGACGAGCGTAGCAGGCAGAAACTAGAGTGAAATATCATCGCTATCGATGGCTAACAAGATCCAAGTAGTGGCAGTTGCCATCAGGCCCTTTCGAAGGATGAAGGTCCAAAGGATGATGGTTGCGATTGTGGTCATGTCATCATATGCTCGATTAGACGGGAATGACGCAGCCACTTTCGCAGCTGCCTAGGGAAAAAGTCCCACTGAGGGTGCTTATATAGAATGAAGAATCGTGGCTGCCAGCTCCAAGGCTTGCAGCCTGAAAGTGACAAGCAGATCGCGAATATCTTGGGCCGCTGTTGGCTCCTCGTGGATCATACCACGCATGTGTCATTCACGACTTTGATGAGGTCCTTTTAGTGTCATCTAGGCACTTCGTGGTATTGGCCACTACGCACTTCTTGGTGCCTCTATGTGAAGGCTTCACTAATATCCGGGGGCTATGCAAGGTAGAGAACAAGAAAAGGTTAGTGTCAAGGAAACAGCATAAAGCAAGCAGGCATATATTTCCATCATCCTTGCTGCAAAGCTATCTTACCTGGCCAGCAGCTGCTGCCAAAAGTCACTTGAGCATGAGTGTGCGTATGGCAAATAATAAAGAAGAGGCCCAATAAAGCCATCCTAATGTCATAGCATTATATAAACCCATCCGAAAGGTTAGTTGTTAACAGATCTAAAAAAAAGCCAAATATGTTAGAACCACTATGGTCTTTAGTGTTAACTGATTTAAATATATGTATCAGTTGCTCTGCTTATTCAGGCTCATTGATGAAATACACTTGATATCGATAATTTTCTCTTTGAAGGAATGCTTTGCCGCTGAAATACAAAATGCTTGAGAATTTATGAGGCGCAGGAGATGCCTCATAAGGGTCAGCATATATATACATACCACATGCAGCAAAGAGGTGAAGAAAACCGTTGAGTAAGAAAGCCGGATGGTAAAGGATAGTGGAGGATGAAGAAGAGAGACAGGTTCTGAGCATGCAAGGGTGATTTTATTTGCAATGCTCGACCTGTACATCAACTTGGTGATTGCACGTGGCTGATTAGAAGCCATCATTGTACATGTGTTACCTCTCCACAAGTCTTTTTTAGACTTTTGGTGGCGCTGCAATCGATGCTGCTCATCTTTATTCTTATAATAGAGAACTGGCGGATGTCTGTTCATACATAGTCGGTGGAACCATACTAAGAGATCTGTACAGATGCTCGACATTATTTTTGTAGATGAAAAGCTCTTGGTCCATGGTATCCAGCTTCTTTCTGTGCACTAGTTGATGTTGTCAACATTATCATTAATAAAGATAATAATAATAAAACAGGTTGACGTACGCGTATTCAATCCAAAGTTACCTTCTCTATCATTTTGCGCAACGTCGATATGGCTATACAGAGCATCCACATCGTGCCTTAGAGTGGTGCACTCCTGCTTAATGGTATCTATCTCCGTTCTATGTTCTAGTTGATATTTATCAGTATGAAAGGTATTATAAAAATTAACAAAAAACAACAATTCAAGATTACCTTTACTATCATTTCGCATCCCCCTCTCTATCGTACCAAGGTACATCGCTATCAATTCATTGTTCCTCTCTATCGCAGCAGCGCGCATCTCTATCACATTAGTGCGCTTCTCTATCGCATCAGTGCGCTCCTCCATCGCAGCAGCGTGCAACTTTATCGCATCAGTGTTCCTCTCTAACGTACCAACATGCATCTCTATCGCATCAGTGCGCTGCCTTTCACCTCCTTCTCCTCGGCTCGTTTAGCCGCGTGGGCAATAAGTATATCAATATGTCTTCGTACAGTAGAAATTTCCAAGTCGACGTGCCTGGTGAAAGAGGGAAAAGGTGTAAGAGCGGTGGAAGTGATGAAAGGAGTGAGAGCGGTAGGAGTCGTGTATGTGGTAGAGGTCGCGGGAGTCGTGGGAGTTGTGCACGTGGTGCTAGTCGTGGGGGGGGCGTGGGAGTCATAAGAGTGGTACTTATGATAGGAAAAGCGAAAGTGGCAGAAGGGTCGGTGGATGTTATTTGAGCCCCGGTGAGCTTTATTTCGCAATATTTGGCCTGGTAATCTTCCTTTGTAAACAATATATTATGAAAAATTGATATAAGAAAGTTGCAGCCCCGGATGTGCCTCCTTAATGAACAGGTCCGAGACAATGGTGTCTGACAGCAACAATGGTACACCATTTTCCCCTCTTGATTCTCTTGTGGCCTAATCGCGATAGTAAATATATAACATTCTTTTGCCGCCGTCTCCAGACCAACGGTATATCGATGCCATCTCTCGTTCTTGATGATTACTTCTGTCCCTTCTGTGTCTGACATTGCAAATATGGAGATGTGTGTAGAAGCTGAAAGAGATACTTTTCTGGCTGAGGTCAGGTAGGATGGCGAAACAGAAAAGAAGAGAGAAGAGACAAAGGGCGAGGAAGGGCTGGATGCATTTCTTCATGGCCTTGGTCTCTCAAATATGCATATCATGTGAAAGGTAAGGGCAATTCACACCCACTCTTAATTTGGCTGGCGGAAGAAAAGTGTATCCCACTGTCAAAAGTATTAAATAAGAGTGTACAGATTCTAGTATTTCAGGACTAGTATGACATACTAGTACTAATACTAGAGTTGAGTACTAAAGTTGCAGATTTTAGTATTGCTTCAGTACATACCGATTTTTTTTGCCATTCTTTGGATGCATGTCACGGGAAAGGTGGTCGACTATTATACAATCCCCCTTCCACAGCTGCAAAGTATCCAAACTCACCATCCCTCTTCACAAAACCTGTCGTACAGACCATCTGGTCTCTATGGTTCCTGAGAACGCGGATATGCGTATATGGAGTGCTAGGCACTCTGGGAGCATTGCAGAGATGGATCTCATAAATGCATATTAATATTAATTTCACCCTCGTCCCGAGCGCCCTTTTTTTTAATGAAGTGATACTAGACATTCATAAATAAAGATGCAAGTGATACTAACACAAAAACCGAGCCGCAAAAACCCATAGAAAGTGATACTAAATCTTCTTTCATGACAGCATTTTTGTTACTTTGGTACGCAGTACTAGTATGCCATACTGGGCACTTGATACTAAAATCAATACGATCGTATTTTAGTTTTGTAATAAAAAAAACATGCAATTTACACATAATTTTTACAGTAGTAAAAGGCTAAAGGCCTACGCGATTTATTGTCTTCATTCCTATGTCAAAATATAAACCTTTGCTGCTGCAGACAATGTTTTTTTTGTTGTCTTACGAGGCTAAGCATTAAATTTTCTAAAGAGGCAAGAGCCGACCGTGGCTTCGCCACGGTCTCCGGCTCGTAATTCTTTATTTTAGTACTTTTGTTCGCTTGGACAGTAATAGATATCCTCTCAAAATGCAGAAGGTATCCGACAACTCAATTAAAGGGGCAGAGTATAATCATTAGCGTATTTTGTTGCGTATATGACCAAAGCTCAAGAATATCAAAAAATAAAAAAATAAAAAAATAAAAAAAAACACGTAAAATAAGATAAAGAAAGAGGATAAGAGAAAGCATGCAAGGGACCGTTGTATGTTCGAAACGCTAACGGGGAGGGGGCATGCTCTCTTCAAAAAGGTCGAAATGGTTAATTATTGGGAGGAAAAGTGGGCTGGATTGAGATTGGAGATTGCTTTTTTTTTTTTTTTTTTTTTTTTCAAAATGATTGAGTGTGTCAGGCTGAAGAACAAATTATTCAGAAAAAAAACGCGTTGAGCAAGCCTACAAAATCGAATGTGGTTGAGTGATGCACGGAATACGCATCAAAATCTAATCATTGTAGCCTTGAGGTGGGCTAACCGTGGCCGAGTCTGAATAAAAAAAACCGAAATCCTTCAAATAAACTACCTACTTTAATCTTATTCGGCCTTTACGTCACTGACTTCTGTGTCCACTTTCTTTCTTTCTTTTTTTTTTTCTTCCTTTTTTTTTCTAATGTACACTCAACAGCCTGCATAGTATATTATTGATAGTTGGGGAAAATGGGCGAAGTTCACATAGCCTGTTTTTCCTTTCCCTCACGGCAGAGCGAGGACTCTAACATATGAGTTGTAAAAAATTTCAGATTGCCTTCAAGTTTCATGAACACTTTACAGCGACTGTTACTAGCTCATTTCACCTGTAGGAATAAAAAATCGATGCTATCCACCTGCCGCCCACTCCTCCCCCACGAACAAAACGAACGCAATGCCCCTAAATATCCTTTTTCATCTGGGAACGCTCCAGCTTGCCATTTTTTTTATTTTTTTTTATTTGAAGTAAGCCAAGAAACATCTCATTTGTGATGGGCAAAGAGTAGCTCGTGTTCAGAAAATACTTGAAAACTCGTTTTGTTTATGATGAACCTTTTTGTCTTCTTTCCTTTCTTATTTAATAAAGTCAAGCATGAAGTACCCTCCGATAAAGCTCACATAATCTGCCATAATGCTCCTCATTCGAAGTTGGGATAATGGCACCTGAAGAGCAACGCGCACAAGTGATTGTCCAGTTCTGGATTTACGTGGTTAAGGAGCATTCGTAAAGATACTTGGAAACACGATAAAAAATGGGCTCATTTTCACATTCGGGAGTGAAAATGGTGTGGAAGGCTTTATTATAGGAGGTGGTACGGATTACATGAAAAATAAGATACAGAGTGAAAATATGAAATGGACTCAAGCTAGGGGTCAAGGTGATAAAAGGCGGTTTTATACTAAAATATACAGCAAACTGCCAGAATATCACATATCGCGCATCGTAGAAATGAGTGGTGATTACACGGTCAGATAATTACAAGTTTTAATTTATTTGGAGAGAATGTATGCGGACGATACCTCTGTATTATTTCAATGGCCCATCCAATCGATAGATTATAGTTCAAAGTTGGTCAGTCAATACTAAATGCATTATAGCACTAGGGCTTTACAGCTACTTATCAATTGAGATTACCTTATATATAGAGAGTCAAAGTCCTATTAGCTTTGAGCGCCTCGGATGAAAGGACTCTGTGTTGCTTTGGATTTCATATCCATCATGTATGGCAACATGGATTTGGTTCTGAATGCCCTTGCTTGTCTTTGCAGTGTGATCCCCACACTCACAGAGGAAACGAAGGCGGAACTTGTTCCTCAAGAGTTGTCTTGGATCCCACTTGGCGGCATCGACCGGCAAAATGACAAAGAGTTGAATGATTGGATATTCATGAAGTTCAAAGTTTCGGACAATGAAAGCATTAGCATGAGTTTGAAGGATAGAACGTCTGCCGAGGGCTTGATTTTGCATTTCAAACATTTTATCGTCCTTCTCATTAACTTCCAGTGGCAATTTAACCATCTCTGAGTGCTTTCCTTTGACCTCTCGCAGCAGCCCTTTAATTTGCTTAAGGCCAGTCTTGATCATCTCAGTTTGTGCCTTGTCGTGGATAGTAAGCGATTGGTTGAAGGATTGATAATGACACCAGAACATCTTGAGAAGAGGTTAGGTTTGCTCACTTTTTTTGATATAGGCAAAAGGATGATGGCTTTGCTGTTGCAGTCATAAAACTGTGGCATTTCTGTGATGACATCTAGGGCCTTGATAAGATAGAACACAATGCGTAGAAGTTCGACTCTATACAATAAGAATGAAGGACTTAGTCATATAGAGCTCACTATTTTTATTTTTCTTTTTCAGAACAAGTGACAGGGTGCCATTGACACAAAAAAAAAGAAACCAGGCATACCTGTTGCCATCAGCGTTTAAAGGAATGGAGTCGGTTGTTCATCCATGTTGAATCGCAGCGCACTTCTCGATTGTCTTACAACCACTCAGAGCATGACAGGTTGCCGTTGCTCGCGGAGGTGGAAGCAGTTCTGCCACGAAATTCTTTAATAATATTGCTGGAAAATTTTGTTCTACCATTGGATTGATGATGAGAGAATAATGAATTTTAAAGGATACGTCAACTATTATTTTTTTCATTTGTTGGATATTTAACCGGCCTTGCTATTACTCAAGGATACTGTTCATTTGCATCCTCCGGCTGAAAGAACTTAAAGATGGTTTTCCTTGGGAATGGAAATGCTACATCGACTATGACCAGTCGTAACATGGCTGAAGACATGGTTAAAAGCGATTATTGCAGAACTAGATTCATAAAAAGTAGCGTCTCTTGAACTATTGATGTGATCAGAATTATCATACTGTATCAATGCATTGCACTTGAAAAATCAATCAATCAATCAATTTTGTTTTTTCCGTTCTCTTTGAGAATGTTTCTAAGATGTACAGAAAGTGCAGGAGTTGGAAGCCGGCATAGAGACAAACTAATCTTTGGTGTCTTCCATCTTCTATGTCTGTGTTTTATTTAATGGGACACCTTCGACCTCATCTGTGGTACCCAACCGGACAAATAATTGTTCAATGCATGGGACAAGAATCATGAATGTACAAAGAGACATACCGATTAAACCACACTCATTACCTCAGTAAGACTTATCGCCTCTGGAAAATCCAGACCCGTCTTTTTATTTTCATAACTTTATCTAGCTTATTTGTTTATCTGCTACGAGTCTACCCATCTTGCTGTATTTGCAGCTACTGACATCTCCATTATCACGATACACCTAGCTAATATCGAGTCAACATTCCCACTCATCGCCCTCCCAACTCCTGTTACCATCTGCATCATCCTTGTGTGCCTCAGCTGTTGTATCTCTATACAACAATGGGATAAGAAAACTTGATATTTCCCTGTCTTGCCATCTATATAACTGGTGAATAGTAGTAGTTATCTGCTCTGTGGCACTTGCTCACCTATACATTACCTAAAACTGGATAGAGGAGGGGAGGGAAAAATTAGGGTAATGGTTAGTGAACTGGAGCCAAAGTACAACCGTACAACTTCCTTGATGCTATTAACCCATAAAATGGTGGTCCCAATCATCCAGTGATGGGAATAACCGCAGTTAGTATAGACTTATGTATCACCATAGCCATCCATCTCGCTTTCTTTTAATAAAAAAAAAAGAAAGATGAGCAGCATCGATTGCAGCGCCACCAAAAGCCTAAAAAAGACTTGTGGAGAGGTAATAGCAATGGACAGTCTAGCGCGGAGCAATAGACCATATGCGTACCCAAGGAGCAACCAACAGCAACAGCCCCGAATCCGACCGACTGAAGCGATATGGATCAACAGCTGGTCCCAACGAGAAGTGGACTCCAGGGGGAAAAGCCCTACGAAAAGGACTCTCTTGCTCGCATCCTTTCCACCCTGCCCCAAAATCCGTACAAACACGCCGTACTTCGGCTCATAATAAGAACACTACCATTACCTCTTACCTTGCATTTGAACTTCAATTCGTCGCACTTTTCCAATGCCGATGGCGGCTTCCTGTTGTGTAAAAGAGAAGCGAGTGGAATGGTGAGCGAATGAAGAAAGTGGCATGAGTATTTTATTTTCGCGTCATGCCAGGATAAACAGAACGAGTCACGTGCTAAATACAATGATGGCTTCTAATCAGCCACGTGCAATCACCAAGTTGATGTATAGCATGCTCAGAACCTGTCTCTCTTCTTAATCCTCTACTATCCTTTGCCATCCGACTTTCTTACTCAACGGCTTCCCTCACTTCTTTGATACATGTGGTATGTAGTATGTATATCCTGACCCTTGTGAAGCATCTCTCGCATCTCATAAACTATCAAGTATTTTGTACTTCAGCAACAATGCGTTCTTTCAAAGAGAAAATTATCGGTATCAAGTGTATTCCATCAATGAGCCTGGATAAGCAGAGCAGCTAATACATAGTATATTTAAGTCAGTTAACGCTAAAAACCATAGTGGTTCTAACATATTTGGCTTTTTTTTAGATCTGTTAACAACTAACCTTTCGGATGGGTTTATATAATGCTATGACATTAGGATGGCTTTATTGGGCCTCTTCTTTATTATTTGCCATACGCACACTCATGCTCAAGTGACTTTTGGCAGCAGCTGCTGGCCAGGTAAGATAGCTTTGCAGCAAGGATGATGGAAATATATGCCTGCTTGCTTTATGCTGTTTCCTTGACACTAACCTTTTCTTGTTCTCTACCTTGCATAGCCCCCGGATATTAGTGAAGCCTTCACATAGAGGCACCAAGAAGTGCGTAGTGGCCAATACCACGAAGTGCCTAGATGACACTAAAAGGACCTCATCAAAGTCGTGAATGACACATGCGTGGTATGATCCACGAGGAGCCAACAGCGGCCCAAGATATTCGCGATCTGCTTGTCACTTTCAGGCTGCAAGCCTTGGAGCTGGCAGCCACGATTCTTCATTCTATATAAGCACCCTCAGTGGGACTTTTTCCCTAGGCAGCTGCGAAAGTGGCTGCGTCATTCCCGTCTAATCGAGCATATGATGACATGACCACAATCGCAACCATCATCCTTTGGACCTTCATCCTTCGAAAGGGCCTGATGGCAACTGCCACTACTTGGGTCTTGTTAGCCATCGATAGCGATGACATTTCACTCTAATTTCTGCCTGCTACGCTCGCCAACTCAATTAAGGGACATTCTTCCATTAAATCTATAACGATACTTTCTAAAGAAAGAAAACATTGGAAGCTGCACAAGCAGGGCATGCTGGGGCGGGTGTGTGCAATATTCAGACATTGTACTGTATCTCTCCTTTTTTTCCTTGCAAATCATTGTCTTTTCTATTGATTGTATAATACTGTTGTTTCATTGCCAATATTGTAAAAATGTTCTGTATTTTTAACCATTCCTGGTGAACCCTCTAAAATAGTGCAAGATCCAGAATAATAAGGCTGTAGAAGCCAAGGGAGAAGATGAATATGCAACTGAATCGGAGAGGTAGGGTGAGGACATTACTGAGTCAGAGAACTCTCTTCTTTTTTTGTTTTTGATTTTGCTCCCCTCACTTACTCACTTTACTCTTTCATGTTTACTGATTTAACTTGTTTATCAAGAATGCATTCCGAAGAACCCGCGTCGTTGAAATGTCAGGAATGCCCTAAAGCATTCCTCAACAAGAAAAAGTTGAAGGATCATCAAAAGGAATCTTATAATCTGACCTGTAATGTTAGGTTCATTAATCCCCAACAGATCCGGGAAAAACGACAGCTTTTCCGTGTTGGCGGTGTGTTTGCATGCCCTTTTTGTCCCAAGGCTTTAACTTCAACGAAAGGAGTAAAAAAACATGCATGTTTTAGTCGAGGAATGATTGACGATGATGGCGAACTCGGCAGCCAAGGCAAACCGGAAGCTGTTTTTGGGAAATTACCTATGCCAGAAATGTCAACTTCCCAAACATCGAATATCCCTCGGAAGAGAGGATTCGAAGCAATGGTACTTAGAGCTCTTAGCCAAATTGGAGGTTCAGAGCGCGAAAGGAAAAGAGCACTTTTTGCTGTTGATGATCTCCAGCTTCCCCCGATTACATTAAAGAATCATGAGCTTGGGAAAGAATGGGTTGTTCTTGGTCACAGATCAGTCCGCAATGACCTCCCAACTGACAGACCATTGGCGACACTCATCGACCCAACCATGCTCCCGAATAACCCTACGAAGACTTTATGCAGCAATTGTTCACCTACTCCACCTGTCGGCTTGGAAGGCTTGTTCAAGACCTCACCATATTCAGCACTGCTTCAAAAGTTGAATTTCATTGAACTGACGACGTCAATTTGCGAACTTCTAAATGATGACTGGGTTAGGCATCCGGAACTGAGATTTGCAAGTTGTAAAGTCTTTGCCGGGTCCATTTTACTCAACTCAGCTAATGACACGAAATTATAGTAAACTGTGTGGAGTCATACAGACGGAAGAAGCACATTGATGCATATAGAGAGTCCTATCGACTGTCAAAAGGAAAAGCTCTTCGAACCTCAATCCCACCCTTTGGGGGGGAAATATATAGTGCGTGCCAAAACTGATGCAATAAATTGCATTTTTCAACATTCATTCCTCATTCTCCTTCTTCCTCTTTATGATCTTCCCTGCCACCACCGTTTCTCATTCTCATTTGTCTCACCTCCATGGAGTCTCATCGTCATCGCCATCAGTGGCCTAATTAGCATTTAATTGCAATTTGCTTTCAGCATCTCATTGCATCTATTATGGCAATTAACAACTTCTTGTTTTTATTTATTCCTGTTACTTCTCCTTTCCCCTAACGATGTTCCCTCCTTTAGCCTTATATAACTCCCTCATCCTCTTCGGCATACCGCAGTATAGTTTGTGTAAGAATTCAGGAGGGATATGTGTCCATACGTCTTGGACTCTCTCCCAGAGATCCTCCATATTCTTTGCCTTGTCTGGATAATGATCCAACTGCACCTTCATGTATGCCCATATGTTTTCTATTGGGTTGATGTCAGGAGAGTTTGCTGGCCATTCCATGAGAGGTATCTTAGACTTTTGGATATAGGTCATTGCTATTCTTCCGGTATGAATCCTAGCATTGTCCTGCTGAAATATAAATTTGTCCTTATCCATCAAGTAGTAATCCCTGGACTTAAAGATATAATCCTTGAGAACGTCGACGTATGTTACCGAACCCACCTTCTCTTGGAGCCAGCAGCCATCGCCTGGTCCGTAGTAAGTTATACAACCCCAGAACATCATTTTCCCTCCGCCACCTTGCCTTGTCTTTTTGATATGATGTGCTCGTAGAGTTTTATCCCATCGATGCTTGTAGTAGTACTTTCTTCCGCAGGACCCAACTCTGCTAAAGATGGTCTCATCTGAGACCATGACGTTCTTCCAGTCTTCTAGAGTCCAGTCCAAGTGATCCTTTGCAAAATTATATCGAGCATAGATTTGCTTCTTCGTCAGATCAGGCTGCTTCTGTTTTACATATGCCCCCATATCATCCTGCATAAGGAACCTCCTGATGCTCGATTTACTAACCTGCACTCCTTCCTCAATTGAACAAGTTGTTGGCCATCTTTTAGGGTCTCCAATACACCCATGTCAAAAAATCTTGATAAAAGCTGTTTCGTTTTCTTAGTAACTTTGCAGGGTCGGCCCCTCTCAGCACTGGAATACTTTCTTTGCCTCTTTTCCTAATCCTTTGAGCTGAGGTAACAGATATCCCTAAACTCTTTGACACTTCTCTGGAAGACTTTCCCTGATGAAGTAGAGCAGTTGCATTTTGGATAGTTGATTTGGATAATGATTTCATGTTATGATAAAGATATGGCAGATATGTAGAGTGTCGCTTGGTGTATCAGTGGTGATGGTGCTATAAAGAAAGAATAAAGAATAAGAAAGAAGTAAGGGATGGACAAACCTGACATGTACTTTTTACCAAAACTGATGCAATGAGACATGACTATACAAATGGCGATTATTCGCTAATTGCGTCATTGATGAGAACAGCGATGACAGTCTACGAAGGTGAGACAAATGAGAATGAGAAGCGGTGATGGTAGGGAAGATCATTAGAAAGGAAAAGGAGAATGAGGAATGAATGTTAAAAAATGCAAATTATTGCATCAGTTTTGGCACGCACCATATAAGGACGTGTGGCCAACAACAATCGCCTTAAAGGATGGGTATCGGCTTGTTATTGGAACGCAAACATTCAATGTGTTGGTTACTTCGTCAATCCGACTGAAGATAAAGGAATTGCCCTCGCTTGGCGGCATAGCAACGTTATTCACAATTAGGGATAATCAATCATCGAGAGACTCAAAGGAATTATTGGCCTATTCATGGACCAAAACCAAAGTTCGATTTTCGACATCGGGAATGGGCCATTAAACAAGCAATTGGTTGTGTTGGCGAAAGAACTATCGAGCTATATCACCAGAGCAAATTTTGCTCCTGCTCCATTTATTGAGGCACGTTTCTTGGGAAAATAGAATAGCTCTTTCAAACTGGAAAAAAATGATCGTATTGATTTTAGTATTTCAGTACCAGTATCGCATACTGATACTGCATACTAAAATGACAGAAAATTAGTATTGTACATAAAATAACTGAAAGGCCATTACAAACAAACATGCACTGATACTAACACAAGAATTGACATTCACAAATAAACATGCAATGATACTATCGCTTAAGCTGGCCCGCACAAACTCCATGTAAAGAGAACATAACTTGGTATCATGAAAACAGAAATTTAAGATCACTAGTAACGCTATTGTCTTCCAATTAACTCTTGTCTCTACAGATGCTGTGCTCGTGTTGTTCGTACTCGCAGTTGTCGCATGGCCTCGTCGTACTTCTCTTGAGGTAGCTTAGCGAGGCAGGTCCGGAGAAAGTGATAAGACCTTGTAACACTCCACCCTTTCTTGACGTTGCTTGGGACCTTGACTAATAATCTCTTAGCTTGTCTTTCCAACTGGCTATTGCAGCCTTCACATGTTGGCAACTTTCCCTTATTGGAAACAACGTTGGTGGAGATACTGAATGGATAATTTTGTCGTGATTGCCGTGGTTGCTTAGAATCTTCACTGGAGCTTTCTTCACTGGAGCTTTCTTCACTCTCACTTGAATCCTCCCTGCAGCTTTCTTGGCTCTCACTTGAATCCCCCTTGAAACTTCCATGACCCTCGCCTGAATCACCCTTGGAACCTCCATGGCCCTCGATTGAATCCTCCTTCGGGCTTTGACTCTCAGTTGAACTGTCCTCCGACTTGTCTGCACTAGTAACACTGGGACTACTAGAGACATCATCCCCATCTGTTTTGTTGCCAGCTAATTGGTTGTGGGATCTCAGGTACCATACTTGAGTTGGTTGAAAGCCTGTAGAGGTGTGCCACGTCTGAAGGCAGTCGATAATGAGTAGCAGTGGCCATTCAGTAACCTCCATTCGAGAATACACCCGCGTGCCGCTGCAGACTTCCAGAGGTTCCAACGTTCCATCTTCGAGGTTAAGTGAAAGCATCCGCTTGTGGGATCCCTGAGCCTGCAGTGGCAAAGAACAAGAAGTGTCTTCTTTCTTAGTTGACATGTCAACGCCTTCTTGTTTAATTTGCCTTGCATGGCTCCTCATGACAAAATAAGAAGCACTTTGTGTCTCTTTCAAATTTCGATTGGGACATTCCACTTCAGAACACGTCGAGTTGAAAATAGGCTTGAATGCGGTCAAGCCTCGCAAATGATCAGTGAAGCTGCCCTCAACAGAGCCCCATAAATCATGGTCACCTTCTGGTGTTAATCCCAAAGCTTTGTTGCACCACATCCATCTTGCCTTGGCATGTTTTTGTGATACTACTAGGTTAACGACATCTTCCAGTAGGCTCCCTTGGGAGGTCGCTAAGGTAGCTGCTGAGTATCGCATCCCGGAAAACCTACGTAATAATACCCAAAGCATAAGAGGAGCGTCTAACGAACATATATTGGTTGCCTTGAAGCCCTTATATTGGATCTGCCATGGTATTGCGAGGTCTTCCCATTCTTCGTCGATCGTTAGCTTGGGGGCTTTGTTTCTACTTCCTTTAAGACGACCTGCTCGACGCTGCTGCTTAAATATCTCTGGGAACAGCGTCTTGTTGCAATCTGGCGCGCAGCCATCGTTGCTTCGGTCCACTTTTTTTCTCTTTTCAGGATACTTAATGCGATGGTATCTTAGCGTCGATCCCTTCAAGGCTTGTTCAATATCGCGTTCGATGAGACTTAGGTAGCGGCAGGCGTATTCATACGTATCCCCAACACTCATGCCCTTTTTAGTTGGTGAGTGGCGCTTAAAATCTCCTCCCAAACTCTCTTGGGCATTTGTATCCTTTGAAAATGTCGACATGTCGACATTAGAAAGAGATTGGAAAATACACTTTGCTCTGTTTGGATTCATATACCAATCAATCCACTTTTTTGCCCTTGGGAAAGATTTCACCAAATCCTGAGTAAGTACATGGAACTTTTCTGGCGTGTGCTTGTCGAGGAGATCTAGGCATTTGCGGTTAAAAACTAACTCTTCTGAAGGCGGGACAACTGCAGAATTCCTCTGAACCCTCATTAAGGACCGACGGAAATGGACCTCACAGAGCCTGTAGAAGTTCTCCATCTGTATCTCGTGATCATCATCGAGCCTAAAATATTCCCGGACAGCAAGCTCAAACCCTACGCGTTCTGCTTCACTGAAGTCACAGACCATTCCGGGGAATCCCTCAGTAAATTCATCGAATCCCTTGAAAGGTAAGTATTTAAACATTGCCAAAAAATGGTGCTTATAATGCTTTTGTGTTTTCCCAAATAGCATTGACATCACGACTGGCACCGCCCTATTGATCACAAAATTGAATGCGCTGGTGAACGTGATATTGATATTCGCGTAGTGTTCATCATGGACAAATGATTCGATGGAGTCGGTCTGCATACAAATATCCATGTTTTGGAGCATTTCCTTCATGAATTCCGCCTGAATAATAATATGAGCTTTATTCTCCAATAAGCTGATGGGGCCCATCATCTTATAATCCCGGTCGAATGCTGCCAAAGAGGTGATATTCCAGGATCTCTTAAAGCCATCTAGAATTTTCTTTCTGTGGTACGCAGTACGACTAAGGTTAGCAAAAGCGCTATGGATCTCCGTGATAGGCTTTCAGGTCTTCGTGCCAATCAACAACTTCTTAGGCTCCGCCTCTGATGCCATCTTCATCATTTTTTCGAACTCTGCCATTGCCTCTCCAGTCGGCTTGTTCGATGGTGGATGTCACGAACAGCAAGCAATGTTGAGCTCGTCTGATTCGAATCAGAAAAAGATCACGTGTGCTTGATTAATTTGTTCCCTCCTCATTCACTCATTTCCTCATGCATAGTTTTGTCTGTCAAGCCAAGTCGGGTCTTCTAGTTATCTAGCACAGTGAATAGCCCCAAGAATTCTAGAAGAGCTATAGACCAATGACCAAGGCTCATGGCGCCAAGGAACCTTGATATAAGATTGCACCAGATATCTTCCTCGGATCCTGTGTATTAAGTTAACTCAATACTTGGAGTTCCGCATATAGTAAAAGTCATTAGGAAGTATTTGAGTAAGCTTTATTTAGAGTTCTTGAAACACGTCTCCGCTCCAGTCAAACAAGTATAAATATCATAGACTAGTAACATAGCAAACCTCAGTCTGCAATAAATCCATATCTGATCCCTACCTTGTTTCCTAAACACTTACCTTCTTGACAACTATCTTGCCAGTCCTTGACAGTGGAGGCTGATGATAGTGGTATCCATGATGCTGGGCTCTTTCAACATTGCCAATCGCTCTATATCAATTTTTGCCTGGCATGGAGTATGAATCAGTTACTGCCTGTGTGTTTTGCATGGAACCTTTGGAGGCGGAGGGAGCGCGTCTATACTTTTGCTTGTAGGGAGCTTAGGCCTTTCCAGATACCCGCAGCTGTCTACCGGACACTTGTAGACTCCAAGGCACCGCTTCATGAAAGTTATTTTGTTTTTTTGCTTGCGGTTATTGTATACCAGCATGGACCATGAAAAATATTTTGCGGATAGATCGTAACAGTAGAAAAAAGTTAGTGAGAATAAGATGTGGGTCCACACACCACACCCATGGATTCTTTATTCATTTCTGGTAGAGGGGCTTGTACCAGATAACTACATATCTATCTATAAGACAGCATGGGTTCTCATGTCAAAGATTTGTCGCGTCTTAGTGTGACGCTTTATTGCCACTAGTTTCTACTGCTAGTTTTATTTTTTATCGTACTATTTCAGTTGAAATTTCTCTAGTGTGTTTTTTTTTAAGATCTTCCTCGTTTTTTAGTCGGACCATTATTATATTGCATATTGAAATATGCAACAGACCACCCGGACCCACATCCTGGCTTGCGTCGACGATTACTGCACGCTCCCAAAGTGCTTTCGCCATCTTCGCTATCCGAAGTAGACGCTATAACTTGGTTGTTGCCACTGGTGACGATGTTGAGGTTTGTCTCGTACGCAACCTCCCCATTTGGAAATTCGAAAGATGATGTGACATTGGGGAAGGCGTTCTATTGAGCACCGACAATACAGGTGTGTTTAATAAGAATCTACTTTTTATTATACGTATATCTATTACTTTCCGAGATAAATACCTTAGCTCTCAGATAATACAGTAAGGAAAGCCATGGCCCGGCGAATCTCGAGGGCCTCCCTTCTGTCCTGTCTCCCTTACGTTTCGAAGTTAGAGGTAAAGATTTTTCTCCACTAGACTTCCATGCAGTTCGCATGTGGTCTATCTGTATCATTTGACTAACTTTATAAGAACACTTTTTACATTGCTGAAAATGTCGACATACATTCATACATTACACTAACCTTCACTTGATTGGACAAGTTCTTAGCGGTAACCTTTTCTTCAACACGGGAACCAGGATCTTCGATTATGGCACGAAGAGAAGACCGATACATGTACCAACTTCCCTTAGGGACTCCAATACATACTTGACATCTTTCTCACCTCCCACGGACTTATGATAGCTTCTATTTCGAGTTACCCTTTATTGTTGCTCTAGCTTTGATGAAATATCCCTAAATATCTCAATGTTAGGAGATACCGACCTACTCAGTCACTCCATCGATCCATTGCTTCCTTTCGCAGCGTAGACAACCTTAATAAGCAGAGCGTTATGCTCTTGATACAAGTCTGCAGGTATCCATTGATTTGGCTCGCCATGGATATTAATCAGCATCGACGACATAATAGCACGCTTAGTTCTTTGAGACCATGCATAACGAAGCCCACAGTGGAG